TCGAAATCCATCTTAAATGTGGTGACGAATGGCGTTCGCGTCCAATCGTTGGCCGACAAGAGCGCCAACAATCGGGTTGTGATCGACTACTCGGCGCCGAACATAGCGAAGGAGATGCACGTCGGGCACCTCAGGTCCACCATCATCGGCGACGCTGTGGCCCGACTCATGGAGTTCGTGGGTATGGATGTGCTTCGGGTGAATCATGTGGGCGATTGGGGCACACAGTTTGGTATGCTTTTGGCGCATCTCATTGAGAAATATCCCGACTATAAGACCAATACTCCGCCGATCGGAGACTTACAGGCCTTCTATAAGGAGTCGAAGAAGCGTTTCGATAGCGAACCCGAGTTCAAGGCTCGCGCTTATAACACGACGGTTCGACTTCAGGCCAAAGAATCCGAAATGATTACTGCGTGGCAACAGATCTGCGAAATCTCTCGACGAGAGTTCCGCGAAATGTATAATCTGTTGGACATAAGCCCTGATCTCATAGAAAGGGGTGAATCCTTTTACCACGAATTGATGATAGAAGTGGTCAAAGACTTGGAACAGAAGAAACTATTGATCGAAGACGAGGGCCGTAAAGTGATGTTCTCTTCCGACCCATCATTACCTCCGCTGACGATCGTTAAGTCCGACGGCGGCTTCACTTACGACACGTCAGATATGGCGACACTTCGGCAGCGAATTGTAGACGAAAGGGGCGGACGTCTGATATATGTGGTCGACGGCGGACAGAGTCAACACTTCCAACTCATCTTCAATTGTGGCACTCTTTGCGGTTATTTGGATCCCAAGAAAGTCCGTTGCGATCACTTGACGTTTGGTGTTGTTCTCGGTTTGTATTCATTTGTTTTTGTCTTCGGGTTTGCAGTCATTCATACGATTTATGTTTGAATTATAGGCGAAGACAAGAAGAAATTCAAGACTCGATCGGGAGATACCATACGTCTGAAGGATTTAGTGAAAGAAGGTTTCGACAGATCTTTAGCCAAACTGATAGAGAAGGGAAGGGATAAAGTGTTGACAGCGGAGGAGTTAAAGGCGGCTCAAGAAGCCGTTGCCATCGGATGTATTAAATACTCTGATCTAAGCCACGACCGAAACCACGAATACGTGTTCAGCTTTGACCGTATGTTAGACGACAGGGGAAATACAGCCGTATATCTGCTCTACGCTCTGACACGGATTCGATCCATCATTCGGACCGCCAATCTGTCCGAAGACATCACCGAATTGGCCGCCAAAGAGTCGACACTTGACTTGAGTCACCCGAGAGAATACAAATTAGCGAAATTCATACTTCGATTCGCGGAAGTGATCATTCAAATAGCGGATGACCTCTATTTGCATACTCTTTGCTCGTATTTATTTGAATTATCGGTCGTTTTCAGCGAATTCTACGATCAGTGCTATTGTATTGAGAAGATTACGGAGAATGACGTCCAGAAAGTGAAGGTTAATATCAATCGTATTATTCTTTGCGAAGCGACCGCTCGTGTCATCGAAACCGGACTTTCATTACTCGGTATCAAATCAGTGAATAAAATGTGAAAATGTTTTGTTATTTTTCCATAAACTTAATGCTGTTTTTATCGCAAAAAAACTAATTATTTGATTGAATGGTATTTTGAGATGAAATATATTTTACAAACATTTATATAACAATAAACTAATGGTTAAAATGTTTTGTTATTTTTCCATAAACTTAACGCTGTTTTTATCGCAAAAAACTAATTATTTGATTGAATGGTATTTTGAGATGAAATATATTTTACAAACATTTATATAACAATAAACTAATGGTTAATTTAAGATTGATATCATTATTAATTTATACTGTGTTTAAGTGTTTGTTTAGAAATCAGTCCCAAATACTCGTGCATTGATTGGGCTGTGGTTTGGTGTCGACGGCGGCCTTCCGTCGCATCCGTTTCTTCTGATTTTTAGTCAATTTTTGTGTTGTTTTCATATTTAGCTCAGAATTGCATTCAACAGATGTCCCGAACTTGTTATACATGTCATAATTGGGACAATTGTCGTCATCCCAGTCGTCGTTGTCTTTATTGGATTCAATTGTCTGCTCTGTATTACCAATGGATCCACAACTCGACTCATGAGTTTGAGAAGTGTTCGGTCGTTGCCATTGATTGTCGGCTTGAGATTCGGCGGACATGTGTTGATGATTACTGGCGTCAGTCTCTGAGTACACAACAGCACGCAGGCCTGTGCTGGAGTCCACACTGCGGCTGAGTGTAGACCGGTATGCTACCCTCCGCAACATTATCGTCTAGGTCTTCAAACTAGGGCTGAAGAAGAGCGTGAGGTCGTTATGTTTGATCCAATTCCTGATCGCAATCTTGTGGTTGGGATCGTATGGACACTGTCTTAAAGTGTCCTTTTGAAGAGTGAATGTCGCCATCGCATGGTCTTCAGCGTGGGATCAACTCATGGCTGCAAACAATGACAAAACAAATAACAAAAGTTACATCACTTGTAATGAGCACTGAATGTGTTTCCATACAAAATGTCACGAAATGTTGGTTTGCTTTGAATTGCAATTTGCAAACCAATTGTCAAAAGTGTTTGCAATAAAAGCCGTAATTTATGCCAACATTTGTTATGCAAAACACATGAAGTGTTGAAACTATGGCCGCATTTGTCGGGGGTATGCGTTCAATGACCGCATCGGCGGTCAACAGATCCACACACAGACAGTCCAGACATGTTGTCAACCAATTCACGAGACTTAAGAGCAGTTCCAACACAACCACCGCTCAGATGAACGCCAATCAAATCAGTCAGACATCACTATCGGAACCATTAGCGGGTCTGTGTCTGACCACAACTTGCGGTCATAACTGATGTGTTAATCCAATTGTGGTTTTGTTTAGGTTTCGCGAAACCATTGTTCGCCACAATGACTAACGAAGACAATGAGACAAAGGTTAGCACTTTGAGGAATGGTCTTCGGGTGGCCTCACAGAACAAGTTCGGACAGTTCTGTACCGTTGGTGTAGTCATAGACTCGGGCTCTCGCTATGAGGTGTCGTATCCGTCGGGTATTTCGCACTTCTTGGAGAAGTTGGCCTTCAATTCGACCGTTGAGTTCAAAGATAGGGATCAGATTATGCGAGGCTTAGAGAAGTACGGAGGCATTTGCGACTGTCAGGGATCCAGAGATACACTCATATACGCCGCGTCTCTCGACTCCAGAGGTCTCTCCTCTGTTATCCACTTATTATCGGAAGTGGTTTTAAGACCTCATATAACCAAAGAGGAGATAGCGTTCGCCAAACAGATAATTGAGTTTGAATTGGAGGACATGAACCTGAGACCAGATCCCGAGCCCATTCTCTTTGAACTGATCCATTCGGCCGCCTATCGTAGCAATACATTAGGTTTACCCAAGTTTTGTCCGCCGGAATCATTACCACTCATCGATCGTCAGGCGATATTTAATTATATAAAGACTTATCACATCCCGAAACGGATGGTCTTAGCGGGTGTTGGTGTGGATCACGAAAAACTGGTCCAATTGGCCGAACAGTATTTTGTCGAAAAGACCCCCATTTGGACTCAAGACTCAAGTGAGCATAGGTTATGAAGTGGTCTTCACCTGCTTAGCTATAGAGTTATGTGCCCTCCGTAACACAGCCAGCTCTTTCTGAATAGATTACACTCAAATCCCGGCTGCGGATATGGTCTTAACCAAGTCTTCGTGTTGGGTTTGGAAAGTTTTAGCCATCAAGACATGGATGACTTTATACCGGTTTGTGTGCTCAATATGCTGATGGGCGGCGGCGGCTCTTTCTCGGCCGGTGGGCCCGGAAAGGGAATGTATACCCGTCTCTATACCAATGTCTTAAATCGTTACCATTGGATGTATAGCGCGACCGCTTATAATCACGCGTACAGCGACTCCGGCATGTTTTGCATCCACGCGTCGTCCCATCCCTCGCAACTCCGGGATATGATTAATGTTGTTATCGGCGAAACAATAAACATGAGTCGAGGCACTAATGATGTGGAGCTAAAACGGGCCAAAACGCAACTCAAGTCAATGTTGTTAATGAATTTAGAGGCCAGACCTGTCATGTTTGAGGACATTGGGCGCCAAGTGTTGGCCACCAAACGAAAAGTAATATTTAAAATCAAAAGTTATTTCACTTAAAAGAGAAAGTTAAACAACATTGACGTCAAATCCCAGGTATTTTTAATGCTCTCTCTCTCTCTCTCTCTCTCTCTCGAAATGCATGTCACTCTTTACTACCCATACATTTATATTGTGTATTCAATACGTGCCGTAAGTCTTGTGTCTTAGTTATGTAATTGTGATGCTTTTCATGTCCTCGTGATATTACACATACCTGTGCTCTCTCTCTCTCTCTCTCTCTCTCTCGTCATGCATACTGAAGACACGTGAAGAGACATTACTTTCCCTATCATAACATATATTATGAAAAATATTTTAAAATACATTATTAATTACATTAAAAGAATTTATTTATTTATTTTTCAAAATGCATTCGCGATTTGCGTGAAAATTATTGCTCAGAAATTAAGTGAAATTTTTCAAATGAAAAATGTTTTAATAATCTCTTCTCGTCTTCAACACAACAAAACAAAAATATTTTCACTTTTGATAATAAATTTAAATTTTTGTCACAAATATTTCTCGCAAAATAATTTATTCACGAAAAATATTTATAATATCGATAAATAAAATTCTTCTCGTTTTCATCGCTAAATATTTTCAAAAACTTTTACAAAAAACTTTTTTCTAATGAACGCCTGGTTTTTGGCAATGATCGCCATGTCTTATACAGTATACACACAGTCTGTATACAGTATATGTGTGTTATATAACACATCAGACAATATCTTAAGAAATATACCAATCATTTCCGAGAATAGTTTACATGTTATCTAAAATGAAAACATTTTATTGTATTTGTTTCGCAGTTTTATGTTTGCAATTATTGTTTATGTTATGTGTTTGCGATTCCGTTGAATTTAAAACAACAAACTATTGCCAGAATATATTAATTTCACAATAAATTCAATCCAAAATATTTATCGGTATGAATGGGACGGTTAGGGTATATATGGGTCGAACCGGTAGTGCCATTAATGGTGGCATTACTTGTATGTTATCGTAACAGATAAGGCAATAATTCAATTGTTTTTTATCGCTCGGCTTATGATATATAAGGAGATTAGCGTTAAAGCCATAAATAAACGATTGGTACCTAAAATGCGAAAACCATTGTCTCAATTACTAGATCCCTGTGCGGTTCGCACAGGTATTATGCCTTTTCGTTGTATAATTTTTTACATTTTGAAACATTAAATATTATCGAGAAATTTTTAAAACAGAGTTATATTATTGGCAACAAATATATTCAACAGATAAAAAATATATAATAATCATATTTTAACCATAATCTTATGAAATAAAATCTGAACGCATGCGTTAAAACTAGTTTATCCTTCAGCCTCTCTCTCCTTCTCTCTCTCTCCCGCTCTCTCAATCTCTCTATTGCTCTCCCGCTCTATGCTATAACACAGTGTGTATGCATTGGTCTCCACCTTAAAAACTACTTTTTTGAGGACAGCCATCACGAGTGCGAGAGAGAGAGAGAGAGAGAGAGAGAGAGAGAGAGAGCGAGAGANGAGAGAGAGAGAGAGAGAGAGAGAGAGAGAGAGAGAGAGAGAGAGAGAGCTGTAAGGGGAGAGAGAGAAAGAGGAGAGCCTGGAGAGTGAGGCACCGATAGCTTGTGCGCTGAAGAGGTACCCAACCAGTCAATAGTCAGTCAGTCGATAGTGCGAGTGCTGTAAGCATTGGTCGACAGCAAACTGTTTCAAAAAATTTCACTTAACATTTGCATTACAAGTGTATGTATTTTGCGCTGTAAGGGGACTGTAGTGTATGTGTTGTTGAATGGCATAGGAAAGAGACACATACAAGTGCTTTCGCAGCATTGGTATTTCAAGTGAAACTTTTTTCCACCATCATCATCTCATCCTTTTTATCTGCTCCTCAAACAAAATCAGTGTTCAATACATTATTGGTGTAAAAATTTTGCAAAAACTATCAAAAAGTTTTTTCATGTTAAACATTGCTTTACTTTATTTTTCTGCTCAACACTTAAAATACAATTTGCAAAACTTTTTTTTTGTTTCTTCCGTTCAATTGATTTGAAAGCTGTGTTTCATTCAAAGAGAGTGAAAAAGTTTTTGATAAACAAAACAAAAAGTTTTTTCATTGACTTATATTTGAATGAAAACTCATTGATTATTGACGATTGAAACTTTACACTCGCATACCAGCCCTCACATCGGCTCCGGGATATTTAATTGTGAACACAATTTATATACTGTGTGTCCCAACACACACACCCCTCTGGTAGTGGTGTTTGTGTGCCGATAAACACCAAGATTAAAAACATTTGGATTTTATTTATTTAAGTAATACAAGAGTTATATTAATCAAAACACATGTATGTTTCGGCCGATTATTGATTATAAGGATTGTCTGGCATCTCATACACAGCACAGGTATGTCTTATGCAATAAATAAAATGTATAAAAATAAATTTTGCGAGAAAGTGATCGATGTTATTTAATGGCCAATACATTAGTATTAAAAACAAATCTTTGTGAATCGTTTTGATTATAGTTATATGTGTGTTATCTACATGTATATATTTTTGATTCTCCCATTCATGCGATTATTATAATATTTATTAATACATTTTTTGTTGTTTAAATGCAATGCATGTGTGAATTATACGCCGGAGTGAGAGTTATATATAATTTGAAAAATTAAATGAATAGTCAAATCATAAAACAAAGTAAAGAAAAATAACTTTTTGACTATAATTTGATTTTGATTTCTTTCGCTTTTTTGATTGCGTTCACGCTTTCAGTCTCTCTCTCTCTCTCTCTCTCTCTCTCTCCATTCAATAATA